ATTTTTGTAATTTTTGGTAAAAAGTGATATTTTCGACCTCTTGTTGAAAACCGCAAGTCCAATTGCTTTGATATTACATATATAGGTACTACATGTGGACCTCTCTCAGATTTGTTCATTTTGTAATGATATCTTTAATTCTCTAATTTTGGTGAATATTTTTGTAATTTTTGGTAAAAAGTGATATTTTCGACTTCTTGTTGAAAACCGCAAGTCCAATTGCTTTGATATTACATATATGGGTACTACATGTGGACCTCTCTCAGATTTGTTCATTTTGTAATGATATCTTTAATTCTCTAATTTCGGTGAATATTTTTGTAATTTTTGGTAAAAAGTGATATTTTCGACTTCTTGTTGAAAACCGCAAGTCCAATTGCTTTGATATTACATATATAGGTACTACATGTGGACCTCTCTCAGATTTGTTCATTTCATGATGATATCTTTAATTCTCTAATTTTGATGAATATTTTTGTAATTTTTGGTAAAAAGTGATATTTTCGACTTCTTGTTGAAAACCGCAAGTCCAATTGCTTTGATATATTATACATATAGGTACTACATGTGGACCTCTCTCAAATTTGTTCATTTTCTAATGATATCTTCTGTTCTTTAATTGCCATGTGCATTGCTAACAGCGGAGCTATCTCAGCCGACAGGCTGCTTGTTTAATATTTAGTTTATGAATATAGAGTAACACAATTGTAATGTTAATTTTTATGTTCTTGTTATTTTATGTAGTCATAGTTACATCTGGTCATGTCTGGGTTATGTTGGCGTAGCTTGGGTTGCTGGCTGTCTGTCATGGTGGGCACCAAGGTATATACAGTATGCGTATGCACTACGAGGTCAGAGTCAGGATAGGTAAGTGATTTTTAATATTTAAAAAAAATAAAATCAGGAAAGAAAAATTTATATTTATGAACGAAGTATGAAGTATTTTTCAAAAATGACAAGCTGTATAATATTATACTGAGACTTTTTATTATGTACTGTTTAATGTATTTTTCTATTTTGCTAAAACAATATTACCCTGGTAATGCTATCATGTAGGCGCTAAAAAAAAGAATCAACAAACTTTGGTTGGTGCTAGTTAAGTGATTTTTAAAGATTTTAGATGCCAAGATCTATTTTTTTTCATTTTTCAAACCACATTTATGTCCTTTGTGACAACAAATTATTAGAAAAATACAAAAAAAATTATTAGAAAAATACAAAAAAAATGAGCAAAAAGTAAAATTATATAAAGTAAAGTACAATTTACAAAAAGGCGTGATATATCTTTGCAGCGTTGCTTTGGTGTTTGGTGGAATCACCGTAGTTACCGGTATAATTGGTGTTGGTCTAGGGGCAGAGTCAGCTAGAAGATTGCGTAAATACAACCAGAAAGCTGATGCATGGGTGTGTGCATTTGGTCTGATGGCATGTTCGCCATTTCTCTATCTTGCCTTGGTATTTACACGCTCCAGTGAAGCCATGACTTGGGTAAGTACTAGTATTTCAAATCCAATGCAGTTTATTTTTATTATCCACGTTTTAGTATGTATTTTGAAATGAGTAAGACTGTATAATAGATGTATTTTGTTTTTGATTTCTACTGATTGGTTTAGCAATGGTTTTTTGATAACAAAGCATCAAAGCTATACATGACAGGACTTGCCGTTTTAATTATTCTTGAAAATAGAGTTATTGTGAGTTTGCTCATGTGTTTATACTGAAATCGTTTCACTGACTTTCAGCAATTTTGGTTAATTTTTGCTGAAAGTTGGTATTCAACAGAAAAATAAAAACATGTTTATAAAAAAAAGTCATTCCATATTTGATGGAGAAAGGAAAAGAAAAGATTTATAGTAACATCATCTCAGAGTAAAAAATCTCAAAACTACAAGTGTGTGATTTGCATAGTTTTTTTGTCTTCTCTTCCATAGTTTATAAGGGTCAATGCCTGATAGTTACTGAGTTTTTAAATTTTTGTGGTGTATTACAATTACAATTACATTTTGAGGTCTGGTTACAACCCTATTAGTTTAATATATTGTATTAGCCTTTTACAGACAGGTCTGGTTTGGTGTCAATCAAATATGAAGATCATACATATGTATGAATACTGTTGCCCTTTTTAGTGATTCGAAATGGCTGAATGGTGGCCATTTTGTTTTCTTTTTTATTTGATCCCCTAAGTCGCTGCATATTAGACATGAAGTATGCAATTTGTTGTTTTGTGGTCCCATCCATAATTCTTTGTCATATTTGCAAAAAAGAACTTGAATGTTTGTTACCATATAAGGAATTGTGATGTATATTAATTTTAATTTTTACAGGTGATGATATTTCTTGGCGAGACTTGTCTCTCCTTAAATTGGGCAGTGACCTCTGATATACTGTTGGTAAGTATATACCTTTCCTATATTGTGAGGTTATTACGAGGATACCTCAAAGTATGCACGAAGACAGTACAGAGAAATTATTGACGGCATACTGTCTGAGTGCATACTTTGAGGTATCCTCATAATAACCTTATTATACATCCTTCCAAAGATACATCTTGGGGATACCGAATTCCAAAAATGTTAGAACAGAATCAGCAAACTTCTTTGTTCAGAGTCTGGTCAAACCCTGGTGGCAGCAATGTTTGTTTTTATTAATAGAGGACACTTACGTGCATAATCATTCCATATTTGGAATTCACATTTCCTAATATGGTAGGATGAAAATACCCCGTAAAATTACGGCACACTGTAACTTATGGCGTTACGGTGACAGATGTATAATAATAATTGATATTACAAAGGTATCTGAAGCATACGTTGTTTTTCCCAAAGTTGACAAATTCTGAATTTCAGCCTTTATACATTAATACAATGATTCTCAAACTTGCAGGGACTGCTTTTGTTCTTTTTATTGTACATAATTTTGTTTGCAGTCACTTGAACCATGGTTGTCGCATACACGTTATTATTTACATTGTTAAATAGCAATACTGTAAACCCATTAATTTTGCTGCTAGGAATTTTAGCATTTTATGGCATTCGTGTTTCATGACCCACAGAAAATGTTCACTGCTTATTGCAATTTTCAATGACTCACAAAATTAAAGTGGTTTACAGTTACTGTAGTTGGTACATATGGATGAATAAATGAATTAACGAATGAATGATACGACTGTCTGATGAAGTCTATATTGTTTGTCCTTGGTTCTTCTTACAGTATGTGGTGACTCCAACAAGACGAGCCACAGCCAATGCATTCCAGATGTTGGCGTCACATTTATTGGGGGACGCTACAAGTCCTTATATTGTAGGCCAGGTAATACCATATGTTGTTCTATCTCTGTTAAAGTTTTTTTTTGAGAGAAAGAGTATTGGCTGATCACTGGATGAAGCTGTCACATTCGCATTTCACTGTTATGAAACCTATGTTCAAAGACCAAATGATGTTACACTCATCTCAACACTCACGTTTTCAATTTAATCAAGGCAGTTTGAATTTAACTGCCTTAAACTGAGAAATTATTGTCATATTGTTTTTAATAAATCCATCAATCAACTACCCACTGAAGGACAGTTTTGCAATGGTTCAGTGGCTAGCATGTTCACTTCGCATCAGGGAGGTTCTGATTTCATTTCCGGGAGTCGGCTGTTAACTGTTCAGTAAAATTAGTCTGCCCTGCCTTCCAAACACACAGCATTAGGAGAGACAGCAGCACTTCAATGCATGGAAATGTATTCTGTACAATACATTTAAGTTTGCTCTTTTAATAATTACTCTTTTTTTTTTTACATAGATTTCTGATTTTATTCGACACGGTGAACAAGACACAGCGTTTACCCAGTTTTATTCATTGCAGTATGCCTTGTATCTGAACTGCTTCATTGCGGTCCTTGGTGGCGGCTGCTACTTAGCAGTCTCGCTCTACATTGTATACGACAAAGCCAAGGCTGAACACGACACTAAAGGTAGTGACGATAGTCTCTCACATTATGGTACAGTTGAGTCATGTGACATGCCACTCTATGACCGTGGTGTTGATGATATAAAACAATCCACAAGGTAATTGGTATGTACATGATAACAGCCAAATTGAATCAAAAATAATAATTGCATTTGTTAAACCTTATCTATGAATTGCAGACAAAAATGCTTGGCTTTTATGAATGCTTTAAATTTTTGTGCTATCACCTGTAAATTCATATTTTCGTTCTGATATCACCACCAGTTTTAAAATGTAATTCACATAATATTTAGACAAAATGTTATCAATAAAAGTTTAGTCATCTCAGCTTGTGGACATCGTAGGAACCATTATCAATGTTGTATTGGGTATTTGTTCATGACATCTGTACCATATAGTATAATTCATCCATTTATTTGTATAATATTCATTCATAATATTCATGTGGTTGCTATGGCACTGTTGATTTCATCACAAAGCATAAAATTTCACATTTTACTTTAATCTCTATCTTTTTACCTCTTTGCTTCTATAGTAATTTAAATGCCAGCATAGTTTGTATTGAAGGTAAATTTGACATGATTGGAGCTTTTTTCTTTTATTTCCTCACTGATTTTTTGACACTCACCAATTATACCTGAATAGATGGATAGAATAAAAATACCCAGAAGTGTATTATGCTAAAAGAATTGCACAAGGCTGACAAATGTACACTTTATATAGACAGCTGTGCCAGCGATATCAGTCAGTGTTGAATCACAGTCCCGCTATGATAGATGGACTGTGGTTGACATATCTCGTACTGAGTCTAATTAATCTAGTAATGTGCTCCTGCATTATTATTCTTAAACCCTATGTTTGTAATTACCTTCACGCTAACATTCTCACATTACTGGAGATGTCAGTGAGTTCACTGTATTAAAGGTACATTGTAGGCATGTACTGTACATTGTAGGGTACATTATAGGCATGTATGTACATTATAGGGTACATTATAGGCATGTATGTACATTATAGGGTACATTATAGGCATGTACTGTACATTATAGGGTACATTATAGGCATGTACTGTACATTATAGGGTACATTATAGGCATGTACTGTACATTATAGGGTACATTATAGGCATGTACTGTACATTATAGGGTACATTATAGGCATGTACTGTACATTATAGGGTACATTATAGGCATGTACTGTACATTATAGGGTACATTATAGGCATGTACTGTACATTATAGGGTACATTATAGGCATGTACTGTACATTATAGGGTACATTATAGGCATTATAGGGTACATTATAGGCATGTCCTGTACATTATAGGGTACATTATAGTCATGTACTTGTACATTATAGGACACATTATAGGCATGTACTGTACATTATAGGGTACATTATAGGCATGTACTGTACATTATAGGGTACATTATAGGCATGTACTGTACATTATAGGGTACATTACAGGCATGTACTGTACATTATAGGGTACATTATAGGCATGTACTGTACATTATAGGGTACATTATAGGCATGTACTGTAATTATAGGGTACATTATAGCACAAACTGTACATTGTACATTATAGGCACAAACTGTACATTGTACATTATAGGCATGTACTGTACATTATATGGTACATTATAGGCATGTACTGTATATTATAAGGTACATTATAGGCATGTACTGTAATTATAGGGTACATTATAGGCACAAACTGTACATTGTACATTATAGGCATGTACTGTACATTATATGGTACATTATAGGCATGTATGGTACTGTACATTATAGGGTACATTATAGGCATGTACTTTACATTATAGGGTACATTATAGGCATGTACTATATATTATAGGGTACATTATAGGCATTTACTGTACATTATAGGGTACATTAGGAACTGTACATTATAGGGTTACATTACAGGCATGTACTGTACATTATAGGGTACATTATAGGCATGTACTGTACATTATA